AAATGAGAATCTTGCTCTTACTAAAACCATTTCATTGCTTAAAAGTGAGATTGTATCTCTTTCAAAACAACATGAGGTTTTAGTTAAAGAAAATGGCTCTTTAAATGGTGAAATTGCATCTTTAAAGAATGAGGAGTCTAGTAATGCTTTGAAAAAGGAAAATGAGGATTTAAAGAAGGAAAATGAGGTTTTAAAGAAGGAAAATGAGGTTTTAAAGAGAAAAGCTTGTGATCTTGAGAATGTGATTTCCAAATTTACCTTGAGTAAAGAAAATTTTGAATCTATCTTAAAATCTCAAAGAGGTATTTATGACAAAGGGGGCATTGGATTTGATTATTCTAAAAAGCAAAAGACTTTTAAGAATTCTTTTGTGAGAGCAAGTCAATCCTATCATCCTAATGTTACTTGCTATTGTTGTGGTGCAAATGGATACTTTGCTTACGTATGTCCTTTGAAGAGATTGATAGCTCAAGGTAAAGTGAAGTAAATTTGGGTTCCAAAAGGAACTTTAAGCACTAACCTCCATGGACCCAAGCAAATTTGGGTACCAAAAATCAAAACTTAATTTTGTTTTGTAAGAAAAGTTGATGGCCAAGTCACTAAGGAAAGTAAAGTAGATCTTAAAAGGACTTATGCCTCAACAAGAATGTTGGAGTGGAAGTGCAAAGGAAATTTGTTTTTGAATGCTCCACTCATGTGCTCAAATTGATATTATTTATTTTATTGCATTTATTCATTGAGTATAATTACTTTAACATGACTATTAATGATTTGTTTATATGTGTTCACTCTTTGATATATATGCTTGTTGAATATGATATCATTTGATGTGATTATTAAAATTTATACAATTAATGAGCTTGGCATGTTGGATCCTAGTGCTTGATATGATTCTTGAAATTAATGAATTTGATTATTAGAATTTGTGTACCTTGATTATATTCATGCTATTTGATGATGCATACATTGATACATGACTAAAGTTGCATTATTTAATAGTTGATGTCTAATTTAAACTTAGTTAAATGAAGAAATATCAAATTAGGTACGCTTCCTTCAAAACAGCCCCAAACTTTTTGTTTGTCTCAATCAAGGCCAGTAGAGCCGGCTCAACATTTTTTAAGCCGGCTCAACCCAAAAACCCGAGAGTCTTCTCTCTCTAGAATTAAGCCGGCTCCAGGACTAGAGCCGGCTCTCCTGTAGTTTATGACTTTTGGTGTTGGTTGTTTATGATTTTGATGATTATATGCTCTTATTGAGGGGGAGTTTATTGGTTGATGGTTGTACTCATGCCTTTGGTTGTCTATGGTGCTATATTGATGATGATTGATGATTATATTCATTACATATTCTTGATGCTTTAAAGGTTGATAGCATGAATTAAGGGGGAGTTTATTGCTTATGTTTATATACTTTTTGATGAATGACAAAAAGGGGGAGAGAATATGCTAAAATTCTGGTTAATATTGAAGTATATATGTGCTTTTATTAATTAATTCTCAAAGTGTTTTGTCATCATCAAAAAGGGGGAGATTATTTTACCTATGATTTTGATGATTACAAAACACATTTGAATGACTAATTGGTTTATTTAAGTGTGTAGTTAAGTTGCTAAAAGATTGCAAGTAAACTTGGATTGCACTGAAAATAGATCAAAAGGATTCAAAATGTGCAGAGAGTCGGCTCTTAAAAGCTGCAGCCGGCTCTGGTGAAATGGAAGTGCAGAGAGCCGGCTTTGGAAGCTGTAGCCGGCTCTGGAAGCTGCAACCGGCTCTACAAGTAAAGATTTAAAGGATCGTTGTTTGGCGCTCGCAGAGCAAAGATGCAAAGCCGACTCCAACTTTGCAGCCAGCTGTGAGGGTGTATTTAATGCACAACTGTCGACTTTTTTGAATGTATTTAAAATCGAAATTCCAAAGCCGGCTCAAAGTCTTGCAGCTGGCTCTCGAGGATTGCAGAATGGCCTGCAAACCCGGATAGCCGGCTCTGGAAGTTTAAGCCGGCTTTGAAGAGTCGGCTCTAGGAAGTTAAGCCAGCTCTACTGACAATCCTGTAGCTTGAGCTTTGCATCTTGCAGAGCATTTAATGATCCCCAATGGCTAGAAATGGCTATATTCGAGCAAGGGGCTATAAATATGGTTGGTAACATATCTGAAAAAGTTTAGAGAGCATTGTATTGAATATCTTTACCTACCTACATGAGCTTTAACTTGAGTTTTTGATCTTTGAAAGATCTTTGTTTGTAATCCTCTTCTTGTGCTATTAGTGAGTGATCTTGGGGGTGTATTGATTCCTTCAAGAGTGATCTGTAGAGAGGATTTTTGGGATTAAAGTGTAAAGAGATGAGATTTGAGAGAAACCCTTTTTCTTGTAAAGGATTGAATGGCTCCTTTAAGCCACCATTGTTTTTGTTAGTGGAAAATGCGGAGGAAATCCTTGGTGAGTGAAGCCAG